TTTTTTTAATTAAATATTTGCATTTGTATTGTATGGAGCCCCTAAAGGGCAATGAAAAAAAAAAGATACTTTATCTCATTCGCACGAGAAAGTTACCGGAGCACCAAGTAGGAAGTGGAGCACACAGGAAACAACCGTTTCATTGCAGACTGTAATGTTTATGTTGGGAAATGGCAGTGCATACATTATTGTAGATATATAATTGGAACTCGGACTCTCATTCACTTCATGAAATCGCTACAGCACCAGGAGGCAGTGGGATGTGTAACTCAGCCTCTGAGAAGTGCAGCACCAGCGCGCAAAGAGCTGTGCCTTTTACTCAACGCCTTCACTGTGTTTATTTTCATTAGAACAGCTGCAGAGCGACCGCAGGCTGCTTCGTTTTAACCACACACACCTCTACACTCATCGAACTGCCCGATGAATCCCCCTATTACCAGTAGCGTGGCGTGGGAAAAAATGTAGGGGAAGCCAATAATACGTCCTTTCTTTTGGGTCGGGGGTGTGGTGGTCAATGTAATAACGTAACCAGATGAGTGATTACAACACCCGGTATCATTTTACACACATTTGTATCATACAGATGCAGGACTTACACACACCTGTTATCTAACCGACAGGTCCGCACGCACTCTCCAGCCGAAACTCTAATAAGCATTCATTCACAAACTACATCAGGAGACCTTTAATGTTTTACGTCCGATTCGCTCCTTTTTTCCTCTCTGTACACAGCTCCAGTTTGAGCATTGGCCTGTCATCAGATTGTATTTGTTGTTGCTGCTGTAGCGGAAGTTTAGTACAATTAATTTTTGAGTAAATACTCCAAATCTCCACCCTCCATAATTGCACTTGCTTGCTACTTTCTAACGGCGGTGAGAGTGGTGCAGTGACGCTATCTATCTTCTATCGATTCGATTTATGATTCGAAAATTATAAAAGTAGGGTAGACATGTGGATATTATCCGACTGAACACAACGTGCATGTATCTAACAGGTTCGTTTTCCACTGACCTTATTTCGAGCTATTTTCCAAAATCCTATGGAGAAATCTCATTGCTTTTTGTCGAGGGAAACCGAGCGCAGCTTACTTCCAGGTTTTAGGATGCGTCACTGCAACACTAAGTTGATGCGATTTGATTGGATTATGCAAGGGAGCCTCTGGCTTCCCTTGGCATGGCCCTGACTAATCACAGGTTGGCAGGGGCATCACGTGAGCCTCATCTGATTGGTCAATCTCTCCATTTTTTTTCACCAAGGGAAGACAATTTCGGCTGGCCTCCTCTCGCAGCAGAGAGTGCAATCTACTGTTTCACCATAACATCTAGAGGGGCGCTGTTTCACTCTTTGTAAAATACTCAATGAGAATGGGGGAGAGATGGGCCGGCAGCAACACACAACAAAGAATTTCCGAAACTAAACGAAGTGTTTTTATTTATTTATTAAAATGATAACTACACTCCGAAAAAACAGGGGAAGCCTGGCTTCCCTTGGCCTCCAGGAGAAAACGCCACTGCTTATTACTCGTTTTATGAAGGAGATGTTCGGTCACCAAGGCGCATGATGTGTTTGTGCTCAGCTCTGGTGTGTATGTGTGTGTGTGTGTGTGTGTGTGTGTGTGTGTGTGTGTGTGTGTGTGTGTGTGTGTGGAGACAGAAAGAGACGTTGGGAACAAATTACAGTCTAACAACTCTGGCTAGCATTGCTGTCTTAATCCATGATGTTGTGTGTGTGTGTGTGTGTGTGTGTGTGTGTGTGTGTGTGTGTGTGTGTGTGTGTGTGTGTGTGTGTGTGTGTGTGTGTGTGTGTGTGTGTGTGTGTGTGTGTGTGTGTGTGTTTGTAATGTGCATACAGAGAGACAGAAAGACACGTTGGGATAAAATTACAGAAACTTAGCCAAGAACCCCGTCAGCTGTGTGTAATAGTCCAAAACGCCTCAGGAGACTCTCAAGTGTTCCGTCATCTGCCGGCTGTACTGATAGTGACACATCCCGTCGTGTGATGCAGCCGGAGGAAACAGCTGTTTGTTGGGCTCTGGAGCACTGAGATAAAAACCTGGCTTCGCTTTGATTGCAGTCATGTTTGCCCCATAGATGTTTGGAGTGTTTGTATGGCAAGGTTTGTTTATTGTGATGTGTCTGTTTACTGCTGTATTTGTGACAGAGCTGAAGTTACGTACTGTAACTCCAGCTTCTATGAGTATAGGCGTAACCCTCTAAGGCTATCGCTATTGGGTAATCCCCTGCGCAGCACTGAAACACTTGTAGTCCACGCCCACCTGCGAGGTGGGCCCCACCCTCGGGCTCACTTCCGGTATAAATAGGAAGGAGGCCCGACAATCTGCTCCCACACAAACAACTTTTCTTCAGCTATTCGTGGAGCCAGTGGGGCCCAGAACTTAGAGAGCTACGCCTATACTCATAGAAGCTGGAGTTACAGTACGTAACTTCAGTTCTATTTCGTATAGGCTTCGCCCTCTAAGGCTATCGCTATTGGGTTAAGGGTGAAGCAAGATGTAGTCTGCGCCCCACTGGGTCCGCCCGGTACTAGAAGCACAGACACACCTGCTCAGATAATAACCCATGCCTATTGCGCCATGCGAATGGCGCATCACAGTCCCTGGAATATAGCATAACATGAATATTTTCCATGAGGAGACGAAGGCTGGGAACAATACAACCCTACCGCTGTGAAAAAGTAGAGACGAAGGTCACACTTTGCCCAGCAACAAAAAAAGGGGGAACAAGGGAGCTCTCTGGGTGCGGAAAGGCAGGAGAGCGCACAGCTGGATCCCTGACATCACTCACTCTGACAAGACACTCCGTACAAAATGTGTCAGAGGAAAAAAGGAAACATACCTCTCATGAGAGGGAAAAAGGGCCGCTCTCCGCGTGCCGAGAGGCAGGAGAGAGGCGCACAGCTGGGTCCCTGACGTCACTCACTCTGCCACGGAATTTCCCATGGTCTGCCTGACTGCGTACGCTGTAGGCATGGAAACCAGGACGCTCCCGTGCGCTCCGGGGCTATCAGGACCGCTGATAGCCGCTTCTCCCGTACTCGGTCCAGGAACCAAGGGGTCAGCGGAACTGGTGGAAAAAACGTATAACAGCACCCTGGGCCACGGCCGATGTGCGAACGTGTCTACCCCCATAGGGGGGTGATCCTGCGCTCTGCGAGCCCCCCTGTTCAATTCGCCGGGAATATACATTGCTCTGATGGAGAGCAACGTGTGTGCGCGCCCAGAACAGCAGCCACCTGGCTGCGTTCAGAAGCTGCGCAGATCATACTCCTCCCTGGCGATTGAGGTAGGCTGACAATGAGCACACCTGCTGGGCGAGAGCTGCGTGCACGTGCTCCGACCCCAGGCAGGATTCGTCTGGAATGAGGAGCAAACTCAAACACAACCCTGTGTACTCATGTTTAAGGATCTTTTTCGAGGTGGCTCTTAAAAGAGCCTTTACTCATTTGTGCAGTGATTCTCAAATGGGGGTTCGCGGACCCCTAGGGGTACGTTGGAGTACTGCAGGGGGTACGTGAGATTTATTTTATAAAAAAATAGATAAATATACCAATTTTAGGAAAAGTAACGAAGTTTGAGCAGTGTGGGTTTTATATTAATAGACTAGAGTTACACATATTTCAAAACACGAAGTGTGATAACTGCAGTTAGCCTCCCTGTCAGAATGACAAAGATCCTCAAAATCCGCACAAGCCCATGTTTCTCACTAAATTGTAAGTACAACTTATTAAAAAGATCAGTTCAATGCAATTAATGTCGTCTTATTGCATGATGTTAAAATTGGTTTGCCATGAATTTAATGATGGATTGTAAACATTTGAAATGTAGCATTTAAGTGTTTCTCAGTTACAATGTTGTTGTTTTAATAAATCAGACACTGATGGTGCAGCACTGTACTGTACCTCTTTATATAGGCTTTTTCCCCCTAACAAATAGTGTTTGCGCTGATCAGGGGGTACTTGGCTGCATTATTTTTTCAAAGGGGGTACATTATTGAAAAAAGTTTGAGAATCACTGGTCTATATTATACATTGGAATGATTTCAAACCTGTTTTTATTTATCCTAATAATTATAAAGGTGTGCCTTGGAAATACTTGTTTACATAAATTGTGATCAAACCGTTTGAGACCCACTGAGATAACTTAGACTAAAGTGAACGATCTAAACACTCAGTCCTTTACCTCACTGAGCCTCTCAGGGGAAATGGAAAATGTAACCGGGGTGAAAAGGGTGTTATCTTTACTTAATTATGAATGTTGTTACATCAATGCCGAAAATTTGTTTTTTGTTGTATTATATTTCTATTTAATCTTGTGGACGTGCAGATTCCCTGTCCTCCATCAGGGGGTGCTGCAGCACCCTCAGCACCCCTACTTCCCATGGCCATGGCATCTAACATTCCGCAGTTCATTAAAAAAACAGCGCATTAAACAAACCATCATGCTCTTACTTTGAAAACCATGAGGAAATGTCGTCATCAGCAGGCCATCACGTGTTTTCCGAAAATAACCGAGTGACATGAGTAGATTTTAGCCGAGACCGGCGGAAAGGTTGTCTCAAAACTCTGTGTGTGTAAAAAGACGATCCACAAGCAGAGATTTGAGATCCACGAGCAGAGATTTGAGATCCACAAGCAGAAATGTGAGATCCACAGCGCATTTTTGGTCGACAAATACAAAATGGATTCACAAATGCCTGATCGAAAGTTGTAAATGTTAAAGAGATATTCAAAGTTATTTTTTTTATTTGTAAACATATTTTGCGTATTTGCAGATCCGTTTTACATTTGCACATTTATTTGTGAGTTTGCAAATCTTTTAAATGCATTTGTGGATGGTGTTTTATATTTACAAATCACATATTTACATTTTTAAATATTTATTTTTCTGTTCACATAAATAATTAAGAGACATATCTATGCCCATAGTTATCATTCTTTTAATTTACCTGTTTAAGAAAGTAAGAAAATGTTTTCTGCCTCACCTTCGTACAGCCAATCACTGAGCCCATTGAAAATGACGCCCTCCTTGCCAGTAGACACCAAACGAATAGAGCGGTTATCTACCCTGGAGCGATAGTAGATGTTGTTTTCAAAAATGAAGATCTACAAGAGCCAGAAAGGGAGAAAGAACATTTAATCACATTTCAACAACAAATGTATGGAGCAACTATCTTTAAACTTGAAACCCCAAGATAAGAGCTGTGCAAAACACTAAATCCCTTACAGCTCTGGGTCTTGATATGTAGAGGACTCTGATTGACACTGACATTGACCTGCAGGGAATTGGCTTTTGTGAATAAGAAGTTCCAAGAAAAAAATATTTTCAATTTCTGAAAAAGATGGAAAACTTTGGGACCAAATGTTGACTTCGACACTCTCCTCTACAGGCTTTGAAAATAACTTAAGGTCAACTATTTCATTACAGAGAATAATTCATCATAAGCACCCATGGTGATAATGGTAGGGCCGGCAGCTCTTGATGGGGCTAATATTTAAATAAGTAAAAGCCTTAATGCTATGCTGGAAACAAGCCTCAAGCTGGTATCATGTTATCGGTTTGTAAATCAATCAATCAATGTTTATTTATATAGCCCAATATCACAAATGTTACATTTGTCTCAGTGGACTTCAGTTTGTACAGAATATCAGTATGACAATACACATCGTACAAGGATAAACTTCCAGAGAAATACCCCACAGTTGAAAGGGGAAAATGGGAGAAATCTCAGGGAGAGCAACAGAAGAGGGATCCCTCTCCCAGGACGGATAGACGTGCAATAGATGCCGAGTGTAAATCGAAGAGATAATACATTTTACAGCATAGGTAGACCAAATGTTTGGAAATTAGGGATGTTAAGATTCACCGATTCGCATCGGTGCACCGGCATAAACGTTCAAGATGCGAGTGCACCGGTTGAAAGAGTGCACATCGGCTACAGTTTGGGTTGAACTCATTCATATAATATCCTCTCATCCTGTCAGCACTCAGCAGAGACAATCTTTGCTTCGCACTACGGAGGCCGAGAGTCTCAGTTATCAACCAAAACACAGAAAGAAAGAGAAACACAGTGCACCGAAAAAATACCTACCCGGCTCTTGGGCTGCAACAAACTTGCATCACACGTTCAGGTTTACCCCAGTGTGAATTCGTTTTATCATTCCCATCTACCTGCATGCTGCACGATACATACCACCTTACATACCACCTGGACCCTGAAGTCTCGACCGCCCCTGTGCGTTAGCACATAGTCATCAGCCAGAGCAGCAGCCTCTGCAGCAGTTTTCACCTTACGCTCGCTGATGTAAACCGCAATGTGGCTGGGTACAGCATTTTTAAATTACTCCAACACCATCAACTCACATAATGCAACATACATATCCACATTTAAGGCGTTACACCACCTACTAAAAGAAGTAACCAGATCCCTGGCAAACTCAACATGTGTCTGTCTGCTTGACATCTCCCAGGACCTGAACCTCTGTCGATACAGTATACCTCAGGGACTAATTCGTAGGCCTTCAGCACAGCAGTCTTAACAGTTAGGTAGACCTTGCTCTCTGCCACCGTCAGAGCAGAGTAGGCTTCCTGGGCTTTACCTGTCAACACACACTGTAACAATAAGGTCCCCTCAGCATCAGACCACTCTCTGCTCTCAGCTACACGCTCGAACAGGGAAAACAAAGTATCTGGGTCTTGTTCACTAAACTGAGGAACTACCCGCAAACTACTGCCAACGTCAAACGGAGTAGCTCTACCAGATAAATTAGAGGCCTGGCTTGCACCCCCACCAGCCAGTTTCTCCATTTCTGTTTGCAACAGCAACAACTCCTTTCTCTGTTCAAAAGTCAGGCCTGCACCACGGCAGCCAGACATATCAACACCGTCTCTGCTAGGATCAACAGTATACTTTCCTCCTTTGAGGGCACCTAACTCAAACAGATTTGCTTTAACAATCCCTCTTATGTTTTCTTTCATTCTTTTATCCCCAACATCCAAGTGGAAATGTTCAGCAACACAGATCAACTGCTCACGTGAGAAAACCTCCAGCAGCTCCTCTGAAGTCGCTCGCAAATTGTAAACGATGACGTGCGCTCACGCTACTTACCCCCAGTTTCCACCGGGTCCGGTGTTCCGGATTAACTGGTTCCCCGATCAACTGGTTGACAGATATGGAGGCGTGGCCTTCGACTGATATACACATTTCGATCGCTTCTTCTGTCGTTTACATAAATCTTTTGGTATATTTGGCTCCATAGGAACACTTTGATGCACATTCAGTACCAGTGTGTGAGGTTGTGGTTACGATGGCGATATCCGGACGCGAACAGCGAAGACTACAAAAAGAAAAACGAGTTGACTGGGGATGTCTGTTCAAAACATTGCGAGCTCCAATACATCATTTAAACCAGCTATTGTTGCCAGACTTATTACTGAATATCGGTCTTAATGTGATACCAAGTCCATCTGAGACCTGTGTACACCTTCAGACAGCCTCCAAGTGAAGCACATGTTCTTTACTCACAGTTTGAAAGCAGCGTGGAGAAGTCTTCAGCTGTGTTAAGCTGTGATCCGCTCGAATAAATCCTTAAAACCAGCTATTGTTGCCCGACTTATCACTGAATATCGTTCCTAATGTGATACCAAGTCCATCTGAGACATGTGTACACCTTCAGACAGCCTCCCAGTGAAGCGTACGTTGTTTACTCAGAGTTTGAAAGCAGCGTGGAGAAGTTTTCAGCTGTGTTAAACTGTGATCCTCTCAGGTAAACTGTGATTCGCCCATGGGAAAATGGGATCCGCCCAGATTAAACTATGTTACGACTTCTGTGGCTATCTACCAGTGATCATGTTTAATATGAAAGACACACACATCTACATCCCTTATAAAAACGGCATTCTGCAGCACTCATCCAGATAACATGTGACTGTTAACTCGTTTTGCAAAGATAGCAGCAGAAATGTCAGGGATATTAGACTTTAAAATGCTGATGGGTCATTAATGTTGGTCTCGGCAAACAATATTAGGAATCCTCTATTCAAACCACATAATATTCAGTGTCCATCGACATGAAAATAACAAAAAAGTTCATGCTGGACTCAAACCCGAGTCCCAACAGCAAAAGTCACTCCAGCCCTGCGCGTTATGAGTGCGCCACAGATCAACACGACGTATCGAACCACCACACTATAATATTTTCGATTAACCTTGTTAAAAAGTTCCAGAAAAATGCAACCCGACCATCATTTATAATGTGAGCGAATGTACACTTTAAGCCATATAATATACATATTATAATATAGTATACTGACTGAGGTCTGTATCAAGCCTCATTAAGACCCACCGAGATCAGATATCCTAGTTTATCAGCCTGCGAGCCGACATTATGTTGTGATAAGTGTTAGTTTTACATATAAGTGTGTTAAGGTTAATCTAAAATATTATAGTGTGGTGGTTCGATACGTCGTGTTGATCTGTGGTGCACTCATAACGCGCAGGGCTGGAGTGACTTTTGCTGTTGGAACTCGGGTTTGAGTCCAGCATGAACTTTTTTGTTATTTTCATGTCGATGGACACTGAATATTATGTGGTTTGAATAGAGGATTCCTAATATTGTTTGCCGAGACCAACATTAATGACCCATCAGCATTTTAAAGTCTAATATCCCTGCACATGCAGCAATGACATTTCTGCTGCTATCTTTGCAAAACGAGTTAACAGTCACATGTTATCTGGATGAGTGCTGCAGAATGCCGTTTTTATAAGGGATGTAGATGTGTGTGTCTTTCATATTAAACATGATCGCTGGTAGATAGCCACAGAAGTCGTAACACAGTTTAATCTGGGCGGATCCCATTTTCCCATGGGCGAATCACAGTTTACCTGAGAGGATCACAGTTTAACACAGCTGAAAACTTCTCCACGCTGCTTTCAAACTCTGAGTAAACAACGTACGCTTCACTGGGAGGCTGTCTGAAGGTGTACACATGTCTCAGATGGACTTGGTATCACATTAGGAACGATATTCAGTGATAAGTCGGGCAACAATAGCTGGTTTTAAGGATTTATTCGAGCGGATCACAGCTTAACACAGCTGAAGACTTCTCCACGCTGCTTTCAAACTGTGAGTAAAGAACATGTGCTTCACTTGGAGGCTGTCTGAAGGTGTACACAGGTCTCAGATGGACTTGGTATCACATTAAGACCGATATTCAGTAATAAGTCTGGCAACAATAGCTGGTTTAAATGATTTATTGGAGCTCGCAATGTTTTGAACAGACATCCCCAGTCAACTCGTTTTTCTTTTTGTAGTCAATCAATCAATCAATCAATCAATGTTTATTTATATAGCCCAATATCACAAATGTTACATTTGTCTCAGTGGACTTTACAGTTTGTACAAAATATCAGTATGACAATACGACACCCTCTGTCCTTAGACCCTCACATCGTACAAGGAAAAACTTCCGAAGAAAACCCACAGTTTAAAGGGGAAAATGGGAGAAACCTCAGGGAGAGCAACAGAGGAGGGATCCCTCTCCCAGGACGGACAGACGTGCAATGGATGCCGTGTGTAAATTGAAAAGATAATACATTTGCAACATAGGTAGTCCAAATGTTTGGAAATGCATGTGTGTATAATAGGAAGATGAATCCACGAGGATATCCATCCAGGACCTATGATCCAGGACCACAGCCACGACTCAAGATCCAGGGCTCGCGATCCAGGACAGAGGAGCGCAGGATCATCCATGACTCCGGATCCCGGCGTATACAGACACCAAAAATAAAGACATTTGGGGAAGCTGGGTTAATCGGAACATGAGAGTACACAGGTATAGACAAAGAGAAGGAAGAAGTAAGATGTCCCCCGACAAACTAAGCCTATATCAGCAAAACTAGGGGCTGAATCTAATCAGCCCTAACTATAAGCTTTATCAAAAAGGAAGGTCTTAAGCGCACTCTTAAAAACGGATAGGGTGTCTGCCGCCCGAACACAAACTGGAAGCTGATTCCACAAATGTGGAGCTTGATAAGAAAAGGCTCCTCGCTGTTCGCGTCCGGATATCGCCATCGTAACCACAACCTCACACACTGGTACTG